GTTTGGGATTCTATTCTACACAAGCAGGCGAGAAGAAGCAGAAGGTCTGAGGGATGGAGAGTTAGTAATGGGTGGGATGGTGTTAGTGAGGAGTGTCTTAAGTCTCGCCTCATTTTCTCACACTTATTAAGGTCTAAGGATAACAAACGGATTCAGATCGTTACATGTAAAGATGTATTTTGTACAAGTGAATATTCCTGTTGTGTCCCGTTGCGCTTTACCCATTGGTTTGCAGAGGATTGGAATCAGATTAAGTGTGGTAACATATAAGTTCATCAAAAGAACGTACAGATATCAAGTCCATTGTAATATGACAGAAGAATAGCTGTTCATTGTCATCAGTTATTTTAAGCTATTGATTGAACTATGAGGAAGGAACCTTGATAAGTTGGCATTGCACTGCTAATGCCGTTCATTATGACATTTAAACAGCAATAAAGGAACATAGAAAACATTTCAGGTCACTAAAAAGTTCAGTTTTGATGAAGTTGTTCAGAAAACTAATTATCCCGTATAACCTTTATGCCTCCAAATTAAAAAAACGAGGGTTAAGGTTCATTGATGCACAGAAAAATGTAATTTCTCTGTCCTGTGCATTTTGAAACCTGTTGAGGTGAGACTTGAGCTACTCATGGATCAAAATCATCCCAATCATCATAAATAAAAAAATAAAAATGAAGATGAAGCATCAACAACATACTTTCCTCACATGTCCACTCTCATGATAAACTGGGCTAACATCTGATTCTCTGCAGGTAAAATCCATACTGTGAGCTCAGTCGGGTATCGACTAGAAAAATACGAATCAGACTTTCTCTCGCACAATATTAAACATATATACAATTAGTACAAAATCTATGATATTATGTTTTATAGAGACACGACAAAAGTACTTTCTGTTATTAGCTTAGCAAGCTTGATCTTCTTTGGAAAATGCACACAAACTCATCCATTTCTAGAGCGATCAAAAAATGTCCCCCGCTGAACCCTCGGGCTGGACGAGAAGAGAAAATCCAACATGAGAGTCACAGCTTGCCACTATATGAAACGTAAAGGTCACAACCGACCCACCCCCAGCGTGCTGACTCACATCAGAGAGGGCCGGGGTCACTGATCAGAGCGTCTCCCCTAAAGCAGCAGAGAGGCGGAGCTTCAAACACAGGCCGCTACACCTGATCTCCACATGACTGAAAAGCTGAATAGATGTGTAGCTGAACATACAACGAGAGGAGAACTGCACCTTTCCATCCACATCTTCAAATATTTCTTGATTTCTAAATGTCAGCTGCTTAACGTTAATACATTCTCATGACCTTTCATTTACCGCCGCTCTGTGAGATGAAGACAACCGTTTTAAGACCTGGGAAACGGGGCCACCCAGCGACTTTAAATAGGCCGATGACTCAAATGGTGCTCTGACTGGAGGCTCTCCCCACGTGCTACATCACCAGCTCTCTTTCTACCAGGTCAACCTCAAACATCTCGGGGCTGAAAGCATCTTTGTTCCCAGGGTTACGGCTGAACAAAACGCAAAACACACTTTTGGAGTTCAGCCGGTGGGAACATGAAGCCGAGAAAAGACCAGAACAGGCAGATTTTTTACAAGACGAAGCTCACGAGGGACGTTAAACAGTACATGAATACATTTTCTGGAAGGTCGAACAACATTATGCAGATTTAAACACAGAAGGACAGGCAGGCAGACAGGAGGAGTGTGTTACATACAGGTTACAGTGTATACAAAGTACCAAAGGCAACAGCAGCCCCCATGCAACAAGACAGAGTCTGGATATTCTTGTGTTGTAGCCAGTAGTGGACAAGACAGGTGGAGTTATACACTGTCTTTAAACCTGTGGAGCAGAAAACTCCACCCACCTGGAACAGCCCTGGGTATCAAACAAGCGTACCCCCAAAAGAACCTCTTTTCAGAAGCACATATAAGGCTTCAGGATCCAGTAGAAAAAGACAAATAGTAACAGTAAGTAGCAAAGAACAAAAGACTCTCAGACTACATTTCCCAGCAGCCTCTCTGGTTAAGGATCTCCCTTTTCTAGGAGAAGCAGATGTCTGCAGAGATGTTAGGAAGCAGGTGAGTTTGTATCTGTATATATTGTTTCAAATGATGGTGCATTAAGTTCTGGTTCAAAACAGTTACAAAAAAACAAAAGTTTTCTGAAACACCAAGAAGGATGTTTTATTTTTGTTGGTTTAGTATGTATAGTTGTATTGTGGATATAAGCCTGCTTATTGTATTTAAATGCTTTCAACAAAGTTTCTTTATTTCAAGTACCTGGATGTTTAAGAAGCCTTTCTGGAATTGCCAATCGTAAAGCCCTCCTTTTTTCTACATTCGAAGGTACGGGTAAAATCAGTTTGACATGGCGATGAAAAAGCACTCCTTTATTATCAAAAACCTCTTTGACTCCTGACGTCTGCTCGTGCTTGATGCCTCTAGCCATGATTCAGCATTGCAACAACAGGCAGCGAGCAGCCAGCTACAGTTTGGCTTCCAATACATAACAGATATATACGTTTTGTCTTACATATGTTTGTAAATATGCTTATTATATGTTCCTTCCAGTCATTTAGTATGTTGTATAGGACTGGGTGTATATATGTTCCCTTTCCCCTAAGGCAGTTTCCTAGCATTAAGGCCAAATCTGGGCAAGCTTGTCATTTTCAGTTTTATTTCCTCAAACCCAGACGAAAAAGTAGAGGAACGCAAAGGGAAGGAGAAAAGGGAATCAAATTCAGATCCAACTTGTTTTTGATTTGTCACTGAGTTTGCAGAATAACGCACAGCTTTTTCCTTGTGATCATGCTGATCCTTCTGGGAGTCCACATTGACTTCTGTTGGAAGAATTCAACTGGCTGCTTCGTGCCAAGGTCAGAAAACAAATCAATCATTCCCACAGGAAGAAATTCCGCTAAATTGAATCGTGCATTTAGTGGCAATCTGACCCTGGAGCGATTGGGAACCGTTTCCTTTCTTTCAGCGAAGTGACCCTGACGACGATTGAAATCGATTATTTCACGGAGCATATCCCACCCACCTCTGTCTGAAGAATAAAGAAGGGTATACATATTAAAATGTAGGACTTGTGTTATGCTCCTGACTGGGTGAATCAATGTTAAAAATCATCAGATCAGAAGATGGTGATTCATTTCTCACAGGGTGTTATTTTGACACGGTAAAAAGTTACAAAGAGATGTTACATCCCATCATTCCATGTCTCTATGAGGTCGATGTATCTCCCAGGCTAAAGTGAGGCAGAACACAGAACCTGCAGGTTGCTGTCCAGAGGGGCTGAAGGGAGGAACAGTGCATCCCCTTTATGACCTGCATGCTATCACTAACCTGAACAAACACACAGTGAAGAAGAACCTACACACATGCATGCCTCTGAGCGGGCCACAGCAAAGCTCTCACACACCAACAACAAGAAGAATGCTACATCTTCATTACTGATGTGATCGATACCCAGAGTCCCCAGCTGTTTGGGGAATATTGATTGCTCAGCAGAAAGGGCCGATCGGGTCGATTAATCCATGGCCGCACTGAGTCACTGCGATTCAGACAAAGTGACAATAACACTGAAACTGCAGATCGGGCAGCCCGGCAAACTGTGAAGTCAGCGCACTTGCCTTTAAAGCTGCGCTAGGCAAGAGCTTTTTATGAACAGAACAACAAGTTATAGATGTTTTTATCATCGCAAAATGGAGCTGCAGCAGAGAAAGACATTATCTGCTCTCAGTGAGAGCTCCCTTCTTGCAGTGAACTGACATCATGTTTCATTACTTTCACCCCTCAGAAATGCCGGGCCACCACAATGCAAAATTGCCAATTGCAGCTTGAAAGTCCAAAAACCCGCCACTTATAAAGCACTTCCATATCTCTTTTTATATAGTTTAAGGACAGAAATGTGCACACGCAACATTTGGTGTTTGGATAAGAAACGATTCAAACAGCTAGTCATTATCCGGCCTCTTCTAAAAATGGTGAGGCCCTCCAATGAATAACAACATAAAACAAGCAAGTCAACTTCATCACTGACATAGAGACAATGGTGTCATCTGTTAAAGTGCATTAAGGAGTAGGCAGTTCTACAAAAAGAAACTGGCTAATCAGGCTAATTTGGACACCACACCTCTGATTTAAAGGAAGTATTGATCAGAATCAAAGCAGACAGACACAGTGTATAGATGATTATGACATAGAGGCGGGCTAATATCTGCCCTGTAGAGGCTAAACGGACAGGTTACAGTGTATTATTGAGACCTGTTGGATGCATGTGTATCGAACCAGGTCTCCAAATTCTGCTTCTGCCAAACAAGGAAAGGATGGCCTTTTCAATGTTTTCAGTCATTGGTCTCTATGATTTTGGTTACAATGTGAACTGTTATATTTATGATGATACACTGTGGACATTACACCGTTCTGACTTTTAAAATAAAAGTGACTCAACACTCTTTGTTGTTGCTCATTGATGTAAATAAGAACATCATTACAGCTGTCCATGATGGCTTGATCCACACACCTTCCTCCTGGTTAGGTCGTTGTCCACAAGTCACACCCTAAAACCAGTCTCTTTTAAACCCTGCTCCACCACAGTTGTACGCCTAACCTGCAACGGATCTGAACAAGAAAGCCTTACAGTAGTTGTAGCCATATTAAGGACTAAAACACTCAGGACTCCAGCCCAAATGTTTGATCATCAGGGTTCATAATCACAGTTTGTGGTTGTAGTCCTCCCCACCTGTTGCTGCGGCTGGATGCGTGGGAATTACTGGCGCTGGCCTGGCACTGCCCGGTCATTTGCTCCAGGACGGAGGCCAGGCGGGAACAGCCGCTCTGCCCATGTTGGTAGCAGCACAGGGACTCCACACAGCTGAGGGCCGGGGGGGCTGATAGAGACTGGAGGGGGGGGGGAGAAAGAGCAGGGTTAGGAGGTTGGTGGTATAGGGTGAGAGAAATGACAGAGGAGTAAAGAGGACAGGAGATGAAAAGCAAAAGAGAAAGAAGGAGGGAGGAAAAGAAGAAGAAATGAATACCAACACAGTTAACGGTCACATTATGACAGGGTGATTGATGACTGTAGGATGACATATTACATGCTGCCACAGGAAGAGTGATGGGAAACTCTGAACACATGCTACACAAGGGGTTGAAATGTTGCAAATAAACACATAAATCATAAAAGCGAAGACGGACAAAAAAAGGCTCTTGTATTATAAAGTTGTGGTTAGGTAGAATACTTTGGTGCTCTGAATTGTTTGATAAACACATGGAATTGAAGTCTCTTATGTTCTGAAAAGCCCCAGAGCTATCACATCCTATCATCGTGCATTATACAAGAAGATGATCTTGATATAATTGAAATTCAGAGCAAAATGTTTTCAGTGTTAACTTAGATGTTGAATTACACCTCCAAGAAACCCCTCCCTGTACGTGAGTCATTATGAATCAGTGTTGCAGTGATGCATTGGGAGACAAAGCTGAATGAAGTTGCTGCCTGTAAACCTGCAGGGTCAGGCTGCTCTGTTCTGCTGACTCAGCCCCCGAGAGACAGACAGTGTGATGAGAGGAGAGAAAAAGTGAAGAGCAGAGAGTGTGAGGTTACACTCCTGAAGTTTGCATCCTGTACACTCCTCTTATGCAACCTCAGACTAACTTAAGTGACCTAGATGGTGCCTTTAATCAGCTTTATTAACCCTCCTATTGTCTTTGTGTTCCCCCTTTACTTTGGTGTTCGCGGTCAAATTTGACCGGTCCTGTTTTAACTGTTATTACATTAAAAAAAAAACATTAATTATCACCAAATTTCATTTAACACCCTTTCAAACTGTGAATATTGTATCAGACTACTGGTATACATGAACAACTGCAGTAAGAATAGACACTGAACATGTATTGCGTGTGCCAGGTGTGATCCATGTGGGGGGATGGGCAAATAAGGGGGGGGGGGAGAACACATCTAGAGTATGACCGGGAACACCGTGGGTGTTAAAAAGTTGACTAAATCATCCAAAATGCAATGAAAGTGGTGATCAGCAATTGTATATGTCCTAATGTCTACTGTGAAGGATATCATAAAAGCCTCAATGCAATCGAATGTAAAACAAAAAAGTTATGATTGATGAAAGTAGTAAATCGGTCAGATTTGACCCGAAGACAACAGGAGGGTTAAAATCCTTAAAAAATCACTATGTGGAGTTATTTCCAAAATGTAGAAAACAACTTCTGATCTTCTGGACATATTTTGTCATGTAGCTACGCATTAAGCATTCAGCTAGGAGCGAGTGTCTCCTGTGATACAGTTTAAAGTCCTGTTTTGTAGCCGAGTGCCTTTTGTATTCCACTGTGTTTTGAATTGTTGCGACTCTCTGCAGCAGAAATTGGAGACGGTGTTGGCATCGAACCAAACTTCTTGGCTGGCAATAGCAAAACACAAACAGGATGATGTGATTTATTCTGGCAAGGTCAGGTGCCCCTGGATAATAAATGCAGGTTTTTTTCCATCTGAACATATTGCTTTTCCTCCCTCTGAGAAACGGCAAACAGATTTGTTCCTATAACTGTGACACAGCAGCCACCACTTGAGCAAAGTTGTAGAATGAGGTTTTCTGAAACACACATTGGGTCCAAACCACAGAGAAAGCAATGGCAGCAGCGAAGCCACAGCCGTTGAGGAAAGTCTTTCCCAGAGTAGTGTACAGTATATCTGTTGGTTAAATGCACTTGTATTAACCCTAAAGTGACTGCTTTAGCTAGTATTAATCCACCAATTGACTTTATATTTGAAGTAGCATCAGTTTAAAAGGGCTTCTACTGTTTCTCAGAAGCATCAGCAGGCAGAGTTGAGATAATTGGGTTTTGAGTGGTTGTCATGTTAATAAAAATGCTGTTTACGAGAGAGATAAACAAGAAAGTAGTTGAATGTAAGGTCATAAGTAATGTTTCTGAGCAATTGTTTGGTGGAAGTAATTTGTTGTTCTAGAGACGGAGCAGCAATATGATTCCTAGAGGAAAAAATCAGACCAAACCTTTGATAAACAGTGTCTGTAAACCGACTGCTTGAACCGAGGGTTTTGTTGCGAAACAGCCAAGGCCTCAGTGACAGCTATATTGGTGACATCATCCACTGGCTGATTTACTATATTAGCTATAGAGTTCAGCTAAAGTTCATGCTTGTTGACCATTTCTTTTTACACAACCCTACAGTACAGGAGTTTGTTTAAACAACTGAGAAAACAACATCATTTTGGTGACTGCAAATGTAATAATCTATGTTTTAATATTAAATATGATGTGGAGAAAACAAAACACTAAAAGTCCAAAATTGAACAACAGCAACTTTAAAAATCATACTTAAAGGGGTTATACGAGATATATCAAACACTTACAGGCACAAATATTATACTGAAGCTTCAATATGAAGTATTAGTATGTGGGGATTAGATGGTTGAACAAATATACAGCGAAGCATGCCAACAGCATTCTCTCTCTTTAAACTCTGATCCCAGATCTAATCAACTACAGTGAGGGGTGAATTGAGGTCTTCACAGTGAAGGATGGGGACAATCATGGTTGGATGAGGATGAGAAAATTCATGGAAGGGTATGTGTGGGAGAGGATAGTCCCATTCATACAGGAAGTGAGACTAAAGGATATACAGGAACTGTTTTTGTGACATATGAAATAAAGGGCAGTGCAGGTGCAGCTTTGGGGGAATGACTGGAGGTGCAGGTAGTTTTCACCAAATATAATATACATATGTGGTGACAGCAGCCGTTTGGGGTTGGTTGGTTCTCGGGGGAAGCCATAATGCTCGGACAGTGACAGGGGGACAATGGTAGTGAAGTATGGTACTACCTAGGGGAGCAGGGGGCTGGTCCGGGGGCAGCAGGGGGAGGATAAGCAGCTAGCAGGTGCCAATTGTCCTCCCCTGGGCTCCGCTGGGCTTTAACAGGGTCATATTCTGAGCCGACTGAACCCTCACCCTCTTCCATCTGAAGGACACAAGATGCTTACAGTGAGCCACCTGGCTGGTCAGACATCAGTCAGCCAGGTGGGCTGTTGGTAGTTCAGACACAGAAACATGACCAGTAAAGCAAAACTAACCATCACACTGCTGCAATAGTATCCACAGGTCATTTGGTCCCATATTAAGGCTTGATTCAGTTGAATTAATGGGATAACACATCTCTTCAGATGGGGCTGCAACCATAGATTTTTAGATTATCAATAGAGTGGTGCAGTGATGAGTCCTAAAACCCGGAAGTGAGTTAGTATTTTACCGGTTCCCTCGTCTCAGAGTCAATGGGATTTTGACCTGTTTGATAAATGCAAGTTTTGTTCAGCCAGATAATCTCCACATGTCTACCCTACTTTTATAATTTTCTAATCATAAATCTAAACGCCAGAAGCAAAAGGCCAACGTTATGCTATAAACAAACTACAGCTGAGTACAGCAGGGTCGTACGACTTCAACGTCACGCCAACTTAAGATCGATATTCAAAAATACATATTCAAAATGGTACAAGTTGAAGCGTTTGTTTTAACAGTTTGCATGAGTGCAGGTACTTGCAGGAACAAGGCAAACTAACTTAGCGTGAGTGTTTACGTGCTCGGTGTAATGACGTACAACATCCTCGACAACTTCTGTAGTCCTATTCAGCCACTTGTTAACAACCATCGTTTTTCAGACACGTAAACTCTTAAAAAATCACCAGTGGGGTCACTGCTGATGTATTTAATGTCGTAGAACAAAACGTGATCCGTCTCTTCAATTTGTGTCGACCACAGACCTTATTTCCAGCTATTTTCCAAAATCCTATGGAGAAATCCCGTTGACTCTGAGACGAGGGAACCGGTTTCTGAGACGAGGGAACCGGTAGTGGTAAAATGCTAACTCACTTCCGGGTTTTAGGACTCGTCACTGCACCACTCTATGTATCTGTCAAAATATTTTTCTCAATTAATCATTTGGTGTGAAATATATCAAATAATAGTGTACATTTCCAATGCACGTTGATAATGTCTTTAAATGTCTTGTTGATTCCAACGATATTCAGTTATATTTCAGTTAGAGGCTAAAAAAAACAGCATTTTGGAAACTCAAACAACTAATCATTTATCCAAATGGTGATTTGTCTGTCATTCTAAACGATAAGTCAATTAATTTATTGCATCTACTTTCAAATGCAATTATTGAAATGGGAAAAATTTTATGATTATTAGAATTTTATCTTAAAAGTAATTTTCATTTGGGAAATATTGGAAATTATTTCATACCATTGGTTAGTGTTTTACTATGTTTCATTTAGTTTTGTAAATGTATTTGAGTTAATACGAGACTAAATGACTGTGGATACATTTCAGTGCTGCTTATTTACCAACCAGTGAATTGTCAGTAAGTAAACAGTCAGTCGGCGAGTCAGTCAGTGAGCTCTGATACACTAACACATACAGTATATATAGACCAAATCAATGCTGGTCCTGTTGTTAAAGCCCTTCACAAGTGACCTCTCCAACTATTTAAAGCAAAAGAGTTGAGAGCAATTTTTTTGCCTGACAAGGCAAATAAGAACCGCTGCTTCCTGTGGTTTGAAACACGACACCAATGAGCACCCCGGGTCTTATTCCCCTGATGCAGACCTGGACCTCATCCTAATTGGCACTGTGAGGTTATCATAAATCACTGCTGGAGAAAAGGTCTTTCAGAAGGGTTGAGTGGATGTGATGAAGTCACTGGAGGAGGGCTTTAACTCTCACAAAAGCAGAGACAAGTCAACACAGAGAGAAGCTGCAGGTGTGAGAAAGATGTCTCGAGGGAAACGCATTCTTCTAGTGGAGATAAGAGCACATTTATTAGCATCCAAACCAATTAACCTGCTGCTGAATCTATCAGAGCTACAGAGAAGGCAAACAACGGAGAACCCAGGGGAGCCATCCGGGTTCTACTGCGATTACCTCTCTGATGTAATTAAGAAAAACAAAAGACTCCGATAGATGGTGCTACTATTGCTACAGAGCTGGATAGGCGCTTTACACAGCACATACACATAAATACATGCTTTGGAACCCAGTAAGAGCATCTTGTGAAGAAAGAAATGACTTAAACTGAGGAAATGGGATCTCTTTTGTATAATGTTCTCTGTGCTCTCCCTTCCCATAGAGCACTTATGATCAGTCAGTCTGCAGTTTGTTTCTGCTCATTGACTCGGAAGGGGACTGCATGGCTTATATTGGGTGTGGCTTGGAATATACACTCATTTGCCAGTGTTTCAGATTCACCTCTCCTAAACTACTGCAAGTCATATTACTTATGTGAAGCTACCAAAAGTTCAATTTCAGCAAATACACCTTTGCAGAGGTAGAATTTATCTTCAGGACTGCATCCGTGTTCCAATGTTTTACACTGGTGACTGAATGTAATGTTGACAACTTTAAACATACAGCTAGGCTATTATGTTGTTATAAATCCAGAGTAGCATTCTCAAGCGAGTGCTACAAACCATCAGTGGTAACATGCCACAGCTGTAAAGCTAAAGATATGCGTGCAGAAAACATGAAAACAAATAAATAAACTTTCAAAAGAAATGAACAACACAAGCACTGCCAAATTGGGGTTATTTTCAGTGTCAGTAAATATTCAGATCAAATGCGTGGCCTATAAAATGTCAGAAAAAGCCAATATTTTATGTTTGTTTTATCTCACCAGCAGTCTAAAACAAAAAGGATGCCAAGCTTATAAATAAACTATACATTTCTTATGTCCAGAGTCCAATATCAAGATTCTTTGGAGGGCTTTAGGTCTGTTCTCCTCACCAAAGAGATCTAACACTATTGTAAGCATTTCCCTTAGCAATCGGTTTCCAACGATGCATGCTATGACAGCACAAGATCTTCAAGTCATGAGTCTAAAACGGTTGTGATAATAACACAGCAGATAATCACGCTTATTATTGGAAAGCATTATGCTGCTGCCCAAGTCAGCTCAGACCAGTCCAAGAGTCTGTCGTGCAGCTGGAGTGGGGGGTCAGTTTCTGCAGGTGGTCTGCAGAAAACATGCATGTGGACTGAATTCTCTGGAGAGAAGGTTGTATGTAAGTGGGAAACCGTGCTCAGGTGGTTATTCACTTTGTCAAAAGGACGGACCATGCTGTAGATGAAAGGGAAGGTGTGATGGGCTGCACCATGCGACTTTAGGATTATGGAACTGTGTGGCGTGCCATACTGTGTTTGTATGACACGACCAGGAGCTCATGATCAGGTGCTCTGATTAGGGACTGATGCAGATGCAGGAAGTCACATTCAGAACGACCCTTAATAGTCCCTGTACAACAACATTGCTATTACACTTTATCGAGTGCTAGGGCGGAGTCAAACTTAACCCAATTACATCATTCATTCCCTCTCTCATTCCTCTGTATGTTCATGCAGTGGGGGTGTAATGACAGGGACCATGCTTTCATGGGCAGGAGTGGGGGATGTCTCAGAACACATTCTTTATTTCAGCCTGTCACTAAAAAGCAACACATGCAGCAGCTGAAATGCTTTATGTCACATTTTTGGCAATAAATCCTACCCCAGAAAGCCCCTACATATATGTATACCCCCTCCTCATCCTAATGACGGAGAATGCTGATTGGCCTGTTCAGGGCATGCAGTCACAGATATAACAGAAAGCAACTGTTCCAACATTATCAGCACACGTCTCTGCAGTGCATGTGCTGTGTTAGGAACAGGCTTCAGTGGGACTAAATCAGGTCCAGACCAGGGAGGAAGAACATTTCCGATTGGCCTGTTTGATCAAAAGCAGGAGCGCTTGTTACATAAAGCAATGTTTCACATTTCACTTCCGGTTTCCAAGACAAAGAGTGTTGTTCCCCTTCTCAAAATACATTCATACAGTTGAATCAAATGTTGAGCTTTGCATCAATCAATCATCATTTTTTTTGTATGTATATTTTTTACTTTACTTTTGATTAATGGCAACTCAACAAACATAATGTCAAGAAACATCATGTAAAGTTTTTGCATTAGTGGTGACAAAGACTGGTGTGGAACTTGCTTTTTTCCTTCTGTCTATCATAGTCATCTAATACAATTATCATGCTGATTTTATACATTTAATCAGCAAAATATTGCAAATAAGAGGCCCTGTGGTAGTTTCTTAAAGTGCTATAATATTTGAAAATCATATATATTCAAACTAATGAAGAGAGATCACATTTAGAAGGAGCAGCATCTCTACAGGGAAAATGGACAAACCACTAATGCTGACTGACTATTTACAGATATACAGTCGCATCCCAAAAAACGTCTTGTATAGAAACACTGCTTCTGATAAAGCACTCCTGCTTAACTTGTTTTATTTGAATTGATTTCTGGATGTATTTTAAGCCCAGGTCTGAATCAGTCTTGTGTCCTCTACCTAATTTTGCCCAGCTGGCTCTTGGCTCTGGAGAGCGGCTGCAGAGCGATGAAGTCATCACCTATCGCCACACGGTTGGTATACATCTACACCAGGAGCACAAACAGAGAGGATAGGAGCAAGAACACACACAGACACACAGAGAGGTTAGATAGCAAGGTCTCACACACACGCATTTAAAACACACAGTTTAGAGTGTACCACTTTCAGAATCACACACACGCATACATTTAGGGACAAACAGGACAAAGGTTAGAGCGGAAACACCACAGAGGATTGGAATAGGCAGCTCCTGAGAAACAAGACAAGAGTTTGGAAAGGAAGAAGGAATAATATAAAACATAAACAGTCTCCAGCTGGACGAATCAATACAATAACAGCATGGGTCTGTTGGGATGTGACCATGCACGCTGTGTGAGTGTGTGTTGGATTAAAGTCATGCGGTGTGTTTTCACGTGCAACCAAACACCATGCTGTTCCTGTAAAGAAACGGGTAACTCATGACCACTGAGGCGGAGAAAAATATGAAGTGTTGGAACAAAGTGACAAAAAAAATACTTCCTCTCCGTGTCTACAATCTGAGTTACCTTGACATTTTACTTTATGTTCTCCCTCTCAGGCTCTTGTCACATTACAGGAAATGTCATTTCAGTTTTTTGCGATGCAAGTAGGAGGGAGTATTAAATCTAACAGTGCGCACAGTAGAAGACAGCTTAACTACTGCAATGTGTTTGTCCTGTTCCATTTCATTACTTTGAATTAGTTTTTACTTTGGAGCGAAAATGAAAAGCCCACAACTACAGATATATAACAAAACTTTAGGATTATTTTACTACTGTGGTATTGAGCTGGCTAGTCTCAAATTGTTCCCATTGATTGCAATTACTATCTTATCTTTAAATGATAATCTTATATCTGACTTTCTTCTCTCATTTTGACTTTTGAATCAAGATTTGGCCTGACAAAAAGGTCATCTTGGCTTGATCACTTAACCACTTTAAGCAAAAAACAATCCAGGTTTGTAAATGTAGGCTACCTACACACTAAAATATCCAAAACTCAACTTCTAATGAGAGCAGAGATAAACAAAGACAACATCTTCCATTCCCAGAGTCGGAGTAGACACAGGAGAAATGCAGGATAGTTCAAGAGGTTTCCCTAGAAAACGTTTAAACAGTGAGTAGAGAGAACTGCCGTGACTAACAGTGACCAAGGTGCTCCTTGGAGTCCGGCCAGCTGGGTGCAGGCAGGGCGTGTGAAACACTGGGAAACCTCTGAGGAAATGAGCAGATCAGTCCTGGAAGAGCCTCTTTAATGTGCAGCCAATTAGAAATGGAACCTTTCCTCTGTACCCAGTAGAATCCACTTGTAAAAAACAACCTGTAAAAGTCCTCTTTCTGCCCCTCCCCACCATTTTACCTGACTCTTCTGTGTGCTGGTGGGCTGCAGATGTCGGTAGAACACCTTCTTCACCACATCGGGGAGGAGGCAAGTTATGACGATGATGATGATGGCGAACCACGCAGAGCCGCTGGACAGAAGCTGCACGAATACAAAGTACATGTCCTGCGTGTGGAGGAAGGGCCTGGAGGGAGGGGAGGGGACACAATGGTTACATAGTCCAAAAAAAAAGATGGAAACTTTTGCACACACAGAGCAGAGACCATGTGAGAAAAAACTTTTTCTTGAATGTGAAAGTTCATCTACTTCAGAAAGAAAAACATAGACTCTGTAAGGAACCTTTTCTTACCAGATGATGCCTCCATAGAAGAGGGAGAAGATGAAGTAGAAGGCAATTGAACCCCACGTCACAAAATGGTTCATCCATGTCCAGAAATGAGTCTCTAAAGCAAGCTGTTATTACACAAATACACATACACGAACAAGCACATACAGGAGGGGGAGGAAATGAAAAGAATGCGTAAAACACTGACACGGGGACAGTTAAGGCATCAATAAACCACAGCATCCGTCTCTGTGCAGTAAAAAAGACCTTGAGCCCGACCTGTGACAAATGACATTTCCAGTTAATGGCCACGGACATCATCGTTATACTTCAAAACATACTGTAGTTTGTTTGATGTGGCGATATAAGGGTTTCCATATGGACCCAAGCATGCTACACAGCTCTCAGTTAACCCCCAGAGTGACAAGCTATACTAATATTACACTGTCATTATACAACACAAATATCATGAATATTTAACTGAAAATAAAAAAAAAGTATGTAACTATAGTAAGTAAGGTTATGAAAATAAAGTAAAATGATAATGTGATATCATAACAAACTAACAAATAGCAATGTGAAAGAGAGTGAGCATAACATTGGCTTTAAATGTACCTTTAATGTGACTGTGATGACCATGATCGTGAAGACCAACGTTCCAAATGTCCAGTTCCCAAACATCTATAAAACAAACACTGAACTGTTAATGAAACTATCAACAGTATCACACTTTGGCAATAGAACAGAGGAATACTGGATATGTTTACATGCATGGACCCAGTTAATAACAACATAACAATATGCATGGTCGACCTGTTGTATGCAATATTTATACTTTACAATTTCTTCTTCCTGTTGTGTGGTGTTCCTTTTTACCTCAGCAGTATTAAATAAGTACTAGTTCGCCAATCATTCAAAAGTAAAAATATAACATTTTGTTAGCAATTCATTGCAAGAAATCCAAATGGCTGTATTTGACATTAACCGCTTATTTTACATATTAAAACCAGTCATCTGGATCGAGGTTGGGAGTCAGGACAGGTGAGATGCCGGTGAAAGGGTCGTGCTTTGGTTGTGGAATAGAAGGAATCAGACTCAGTTAAAAAGCTGAGTGGTTTTATGATGCCTTCAATAAAGGCCTGGACGCCTACCATGTCACCTCTGCCGCCTGC